TGAGACTGTGCATCAACTTAAGCTAATAAGTGACTAGGATTCTCACCAAAGGAGTTTTGACCGTGGAGCCCACATACAAAACCAGTGCCGGACTGTGTGAAAGTTCGTATAAATGGGTCAGTGAGGTGCTCTTCTGGACACTATGTACATTTTAATGGGGCTCTTAGGAGTAAATGCTTTAGCTCCTGAAAAGAATCCACAAGCTGGTGGGCACATAATGGGCTGCGGTGACCCTTCAAATCAGCCACTACACATGCACTACTAGTTCTTAATTTGCTCGCACAGGAGACTCATGGGAAGCTTTAAAAACACAGCTGGGTTCCTGCCCTCAGAGCCTCATGCGTGGGGTGTCGCCTGGCATGGGAATTGATGAAAGCTCCCCAGGTGACTCTCGGGTACAGTTTGAGCTTTTGTCACAGGAAGCCACTGGCTCCAGCTAACTCTGCAGAGAAATGGATTACGGGTCTGGAGAACAGCTCAGTCCTAATGTATCTGATGTACATATCTGCCTTCTGTAGCCAAAATATTGGGCTCTTTCCAAAATCACAACTGCCTCTTTGGTGATGAGGTCAGGCTTGCTATTTTGACTTGGATATGGTAGAACTTAGCATTGTTCAGAGCAACAAATTGTATGGCATTGTAATTGGGTTATGTGGGGAGATTTGCCTTCTTAACAGTCTGCTGCCATGGAGTAAGGCTGGTCGAGGGGAGAGTCATGGACAGGAGGAATTCCTTGAAGGTGAAAAGCTATTGAGGGGCAACTCGGAACCTTGGTTGTAGAGAATTTCCATATGTTTAGGATGATAGCCTTCTGTGGAAATATATTGACCTACTCTACATCGCAGATGAGACTCCAACACAGTGACCACAACTGTGTGGCATTTTGGGGAAATTTGCAGAAGGTAAAAACAAGTGATCTTAGAGTGAACAATTCAGTGGCACTCGGTATGCTCAGTGCTGCACGGGCCACCACATCTGTAGGCCTGGGCATCTCATCACCCCAGAGGAAACCCACCCCCTTCCAAATCCTTTTGATCTCAGAAGCTCAGAACTCGTCTGTCTTCCTTCCTGAAGCCATCACAGTTGCACACTGGCCTCTTTCCCTCCTAGTTTTTTCCTTGGCCATTTATTATGCACTGACCCTCTACCACTTAGGGCTGGATTGCAGGGGCCATGCATCTTGCTCAAGGTGGGACAGTCTGGGGGGTGGCCAAGTGGTTGGACGTTGTTTGCAAAGCCAGTATGAAAAATTTGATTATGTTAAATGACCCTTAGCTGTCCTGTAAGTTGCTCATCATGTGTGGTAAATGTGACATTGGATAAATAGTCCTGCTCAGTGATTCCTAAGAGCCTGAGACTGAGAATCTATGGAGGAGGGTAAAAATGAGGAAGGAAGCAGAGGGGAGGCCAGCCATCCTGCATCCTCAAACCAGACTGATGTAAATGCTTTATTTTAACTGCGAGCACCTGTAACTGTAATGCATGTCCACATGTTACTGTGGAGGTTGACATATGTATGACAGCGTCCACACACTTCCAGGTGCCAAGTGGGTACTACCTTTGAATCTAAAACTGGCTTGATCAGCTCTGTGTATCCTACATCCTTTTAAAAGTTAAAGAGGAAATTGGATGCCCACATGCCCTCTAAGTTGGCATTACCTTGTTGCTTATGCTCTCCCTCCCTCCACTAAGTAGCTGCTGCTCTTCTCTGGAACTGTCCACGTCACCCTGTTAGAGTATATTTTTATGTGAATTATTTACCCAAGTAGATGATATGTTCTGAAATTCAGGGGATGCATTTCCATGTTTGTACTTTGATTACATGGTGCTTACCACAATGTATTTCTGTATAAACTAAGTGTCCCATAAGAGCAGGCACACATTCTGTTGATGTCCTGTGCTCAGTGAATGTGTAGTGAGCATCATCTCTATGCTAAGGAGGTGCTAGATCTTAAGGAAGCAAAGATGGTCAATAGTATGCCTGAAATTTCACAGTAATGATGTGAGACTGTTGTGAGGACAAATGACGGCAAAATCGGATACAGCTAATCGGAGAGGGCCATACTGTGTCAGCTCATTGGGGAGCTAGCTCTGGGGACATGGTGTTGAGTGGATGGTGCTGGTGCTGGACTCTATGTGAATAGGGAGGAAAGGACCCTGGCCCTAAACCAGCAAGAATAAGGACAGAAGTCAGCAACCTTTCTGTGAAGGGCCAGGTAATGAGTCTATTAGGCTTTGAGCCATAGGAATTTTTTGAACAATATCATTAAAGTCTGGAAGTAGGATAATGCATAAATGGTTATGGATGTGTTCCAGTTTAACTTTATAGATGACAAAATTTGACTAGACATATATTTTTTCACATTATGTGAACATTGATCTTTTAATTTTTTCAACCATTTAAAAGTTCTAAAGTTTAATTCATGGGCTATACAAAAGTAGGCCTGGTGCCAAATTTGGCCTGCAGATAGTTTGCTGACCCTTTTACAAAGGGAAGTGAGCTGGTGCTGCAGGAGCAGACCCGAGTACAGGCATGTGAGTTCTGATGGAGGTCAGCACACCTTTCTGAGTGGCCGGGTGGTAGGTCTAGGTGGAAGCCGAGGTCCTGCACTTCCAACATGCTCCCAGGTGGTAGTGATGCTGAGGTCCTTGCATGGAGCAGAGAGCTAAATAAAGTAGCACTACAGTCCCACTTGGTGGGACCTAGTGTCGATTAGTTCTGTGGGTGTGGGGAAATTCAGAAACTTTCTACCTATCCATGGCTTTTGGTCTACTCAAAGACATTTTTATGTAAGTATAAAGATAATTGAACTCGCCCAGGGTAAGAACTTAACAGGGAGTCAGGAGTGACTTATTCCCGTTCTGGCTATGATCACCTATGCAGTGAGAGTGTGGCACACAAGTTCCAGCTGAGCTGGGCTGGGCCCCCAGCCTCAGTACATCCATTTGCTTCCTGTTGGGATTGCTTTTATTCTTCTTAGTTGTTTCTCTGTTTTGAGCCATTGGGACACCATTTACACTGAGGCTGTTCAGGTAAAATTTCTTGGATGTGCTGACTGGAGGGGAAGTCCCAAGAGTATACCTCAGCATAGTGACTAGAGAACTGTACTGAGGCTGAGGAATAGGACCACTCATCTAAAGCTTAGGGACAGGATCTTGCAAGTCATAGCTGCTGGGTGGATGGTGGCCTCAGACAATGGAGAAGGGATGTTGACAGGTAAGGTTGGAAAATGCTCAAAGTTTACCTTGAAGATTCTTAATACTAAGAAGCTCTCAGGTACTATAAGTATACAGATCTTTGTTTCAAAATGTTATCTTTCTATAAAGATAGAGTAATATTGTCTTACAAGGCTCGGGAGGCAGGGCGAAAGTAAACATTCTGTGGATTTCTTTGTGGTATCAGAAATGAATGATTTTGGCTCCCTACCTGAATTGTGATGTGAAGCATGAAAACTGGTGGATATTTGCTTTCTCATGGATAAGTTTGATTCTATTACTGTAGGACTTTCCTGCTTAGTAATGAAATAAAAATTTAGTAGGGGTCAGGGTCTTATTCTTAAAAAAGCCCAGTGACCACCTGGAGAAACATAATCTTGCAGTGGTTGGGAGGAGGCAGGACCCAAGTGAAGCCAGCTGGCTGCTTATGTGCGGGCAGCTGCCTGGCCACAGGGCTTGAAGTTGTCGCTCCACTAGGAGGTGTGGACTGTGCTGACCCAAGCACACATTCTGGCTGACCTGCTAGTTAAGAGCCACTTGTTTCCGGTTTTGTAAGAATATTCTGTGGCAAGAAAACTACGTCTGCATGTGCACAGCTTCTGAAGCAAAGAGGCCCCATGGAAACTGCTTACCTATGCGGAGAACTTGAATCAGTCTGGCAGCTGTGAGGAGGGTGGGGCTAGGGGTGACACCAGTAGATCAAGATGCTACCATTTAGTGCAACATGTGGTATTCTCGGGAGCTTTTGTTACTCCTGGTGAATTGGTCTGACCAGGACTGATGTTCTTGAAGCCAGGTGATTTATTTATTTTAATTTGTTACATATGATGCAATTCAATTCATTATGCTTACAGAGCACAATTTTTCAGTTCTTCTCTGGTTGTACACAAAGTAGTCACACCATACGTGTCTTCATATATGTACTTAGGGTAATGATGTTCATCTCATTCCAGTCTTTGCTACCCCCTAACCCCCCCACCCTTCTTCTCCCTCCCCTTTGCTCTATCTAGAGTTCATCTATTCCTCCCATGCTCCCCCTCGCCCCCATCCCCATTATGAGTCAGTATCCTCATGTCAGAAAACATTCGGCCTTTAGTTTGTTGGGATTGGCTTACTTCACTTAGCATTAGTCTCCAACTCCATCCATTTACCTGCAAATGCCATGATTTTATTCTTATTGTTGAGTAATATTCCATTGTGTGTACCAGTTTCCCTATCCATTCATCTACTGAAGGGCATCTGGGTCGATTCCACAATTTACCTACTGTGAATTGTGCTTCTATAAACATTGATATGAAGCCGGGTGATTCTATTGAGCAGCTGGGGCTGAGAATGCCAAGTTGAGACTCATCGGGCAAGTCACTGGAGTTTGCTCCAGGTGTCACCACTTGCCTGGAAGGGCCGTGTTATCTCCTGCCAGGGGCTGGCCAGGTTAAACAAGGTTAGGATAGTGTCTGGGGTAGGTCGAATGAGGATTTGGGGGCATGTTTGTGGCTTATACAATGCAAAAATCCAAGTGGCAACTTGGGATGCTGAAGCGTGTTTTGGTTGACCTGTTGTTCGGGAAAGTGGCTTTATCCCCGAATGCAGAATATCAGCTAGGTTTCCCAAATGGGAATTTGTGGATTTCTTTGTAATATCCATTCTGTGGATTTCTTTGTCATATCAGAAACGAATGATAGATGGCTTTAGAAGTTCTAGTGGCCCCTCCTAGATAATGACTCATGTTTAGGACCCTGCATACTTCACCTTGTATCTGAACTTTTTCCATTCTCATCTTTCAGTACACAAGGGTCTGGATCCCTGACCCGGATGAAGTGTGGCGCTCAGCAGAATTAACCAAGGACTACAAAGAGGGTGAGAAGAGCCTCCAGCTCAAACTGGAAGATGAGACTGTAAGTCCTGGCGCTGGGTGTGGGAAGCCAAGGCCTGTGCTGATCAGGACTTGGTGGTACCTTGTGGGCTTGGCTTTCTCCTGGCCATTGGAGCTTCTGAGCCCTTGGATTCTTTCTGTCGATGGCAATGCATCTCAACGTCCTAACCCCAAGGCTGCCCTGGGCATGTCACATAAGTGCCCATTGGGGTTAATAGCTATGAGCACTTGTGGCTGAGGCAAGCATCTTAAGTGGAGTGAGGGCAATGGAGGCCTCTCTGTGGGGAGGAGAGAAGAGGACTATCACGAGGGCCATTGCAGGTAAGGTGGCAGGAGTGTGGGTTGCAGTGCAGTCTGCCTGGGTGGATTCAGCCTCAGCCATCGCTGGCTTTGTGATCCTGGACATGTTAGCAGTTCTGTGCCTATTCTCCCTGGAGAACAGGATGATGGTTTGTCTAGAGCTAGTTCTGAGAATAACATGGGGTAAGATGTAACAGGTACTTCAGGGTAGTGCCTGGCAGGAAGGGTCTCCATATGTGTTGGATGCATTGTTTTGACTAACTTTCAGGTTGTCGTCATCAAAAGGAGATGGAGGTATTAACTCTAAAACTCTCCTCCTGAAAGCTTCCATTCAGTCTCCTTTTCCAGGAGCCATTGGCTACCTCTGATACGTGCATTCCACACATACCAGTGCTCAGAATGAGCACTGGGGCCAGGCAGGTGCATAGGGGGACAGTTGTGACCCCACATTTTGGGGATCGCAGTGCTGGAGGTGACAGTGAACAAGTAATAGAGGTGAGGCAGAGATGCAGTAGGTATGGGAGTGAGGTGTGGGAGGGAGGCTTAGCCAGCTGGGGTGAAGGTGCTCAGAGGTCCAGTTTCTTGAAGGCTGCAGAAGGAGCCACTGGAGAGTTGGGTGTGCAGGCTGGGAGGAGAGTGTACCACAGAGCAGTGGGGTGTGCCAAATTCCTAAGTTCACTTTGGATGTGTGCAAGGGAAGGAAAGGAAGTCGGTGCCTCTAGGACCCAGTGGGGAAAGGGGACAGGTAACATCAGACTGAGGATAGAGGCAGCAGTTCATGCAGCGTGTACAATGGCGGGGACCAGGAGAGAAACCGATTGTTAGCAAAGGTGCGGGGAGAGTTGAGATTGTTTTCTGGGGTGGATTCCTTGGGCTGCAGGGTGGGCATTGCTTGTAGGCAAGGTTTGGATTGGTGTGATCAGTGCCTCTCTAAACTCCAACAGCATTAGAAAGTCTGAACCATGTCCTGAAGCCTGCGTTATTTACTGTTGCTGTTTGTCATTCTTTCAAGCTCTTCGGTCTTGCCCACCTTTCTAGATGGTTGGTGATAAACCTGCCCATTGAACAGTGTCCCATCTTGAACATTCTCCTACTGCTGTTTTGTGTCAATATAATTGGGTGTGTTACTTAGTAAAACTAGGGCAGAACAGTGAGTTGGTTAGGAAGTAGCAACACCAAGGTCCCCCACCCACACCTTGCTCTTGCGGACAGGCAGGCTTTGCTAGCCCCCTCCAAGTTTTTCAGGTGAGAATCAACTCCCAGCAGATGGAATCCTGTTTACCATGTTGAAAAACTTCCCACCCTCTGCCTGAAATAAAATGAGCCCACCCACATGAATAGTGTCTTCTACTCCAACAGATTTCTTTTCAGTTGATGTTTTCAAGTGGGTGGGTGTTTTTAAAAGTTGTACAGAGGTAGTGAGGAATGATCTGCTGTGTTGCTAAAACAGCAGATGCTTGCCTCTCCGCTACACTTGGATTTGGCCCTGCATGACTAATCTTGGCAGCTGTCCAGGGTCCATCTCTTTCCTCTCTGGCTTTGAGGCTGGTCAGTGTGGAATTGACAGGAAGCCTGGGGCTGAAAATCAGTAGTGCTCCAGAAATAATGGGCTCTGAGTGTCTGAGTCTGTCCAGGTTACTCATGGGCTGCCCTAACTGGCTCTAGGTGTCATTGGGAGTGACCCAGGTGCTGTGCACCAGAAGGAGTCCAGAGCAGCATGACTGGGTGAGCATTTGAAGCACGCCCCCCTCTGAAGCTGGAACCATTCTCTAAGCACCAAGCTGGTGGAATAGCCACCTCAGTCTTTGCCCCTAACCCCCAAAGGCCAGAGTCTCTTTCATTGCTGAAGCAAAGAGTTAGAAAAACTTTCTTGCAGAGAATCTGATTTTAACTGTAGCCTTAGGGCAGGACCTTACTGCCAATCTGTCCCCTCTACTTTCAAGGTACCTGGGCTTACTCACTGTTCCAAGATGATTTCCCCGACTTTTGATCCTTCATGATTGCCATAATGAAAACATACTTAACATAAAACTTACCATGTTAACCATTAAGTGTATAGTTGAGGGACATGCACAATGTTGTGCAGCCATCCCACAATCCTTCTCCAGACTCTTATCATCTTGCGAAACAAATTGTCCTCATTCAATGCTAACTTGTCAATCTCCCTGTTCTTGGCTGCAGTCCCTGGAAGCCACCATTCTACTCCCGATGACTTTAACTACTCTGAGTGTTTTGTGCATAGTAGACTCAAAACAGGCTTGTTCCATCTTGCATATAGTACAGGATGTTTTGTATTATACCTAGTAAGATGGTAACCTATTGGGGATAAGAATTGGGCCTCTACCTTTTCCTCCCCGAGCTGTGATGGTGTGAGCTAGCCCTACGCCTGGGATTCTGCTAAAATGGATCTGATATGTCAGCAGGTGCTCACCTTGGAGACGTGTGGTGTCCTGACACCTGGCTGGTAGTGGAGCCCTGTGCAAATCGGCTCTCTCCTGGCCCCATCTCCCTCACAAGCAGCTCCCTGCCCTCTAGTGGCTGGGAAAACTCTCCCCCCATCTCCATGATTTACTTCTAAAATGGTTTTCACCTGACTTAAATCTTTAGGTATACATGACAGTGTATTTTGACATAGGATGTTATACACCATGTATGTATACTAATTAGGATTTCATTCTTAAAGTTCTTTTTAGAGGGGCTGGGGATGTGGCTCAAGTGGTAGTGCACTCTCCTGGCATATGGGAGGCACTGGGTTCAATCCTCAGCACCACATAAAAATAAGATTGTGTCCACCTAAAACTAAAAAAAAAAATTTTTTAAAATTCTTTTTAGATATACATGACAGTATATGTTCACATACTATTATACATATCTGGAGTATAATTTCCCATTCTTATGGTGTGCCTGATGTGGAATTACACTGGTTGTGTATTCATATATGAACATAGGAAAGACAAATCTAACTAGTTTTACTGTCTTTCCTCATCCCATACCTCTCCTTTCATTCCCCTTTGTCTAATCCTGTGAACTTCTATCTTCCCTCCCACTCCCTTATGAGTTAGTTCCACATAACAGAATATTTAGCCTTTGGTTTTTGGGGATTCTTATTTCAGTTAGCATGATAGTTTCTAGTTCCATCTGTTTACTGGCAAATGACAAAATTTCATCCTTAAAAAAACATTTTTAATTGTAGAGGGCCACACAATACTTTGTTTATTAATTTGTTATGTGGTGCTGAGAATCAAACCAGTGCCTCACATATGCTAGGCAAGCACGCTGCCACTGAGCTATAGCCCCAGCCCCCCAAATCTCATTCCTACTGGTTGAGTTATTCCACTGGGTATAAATGCATTTATCCATTCACCTACCGAAGAGCAACTAGGTTGGTTCCATAGCTTGGGTTATTGTGAATTAAGCTGCTATAAACAAATGTTGGCGAGGATATGGTGGGAGAGATACTCCTACATTGCTGATGGGACTGCACATGGTGCAACCACTGGAAAGCAGTATGGAGATGCCTCAGGAAACTTGGAACGGAACCACCATTTGACCCAGTTTTCCCACTCCTCGGTATATACCCAAAGGACTTAAAATGGGCACACCACAGTGATGCAGTCACCTGAGTTTGTGACCTTGATGGTCCCTCTTAGTGCAAAACCTTGACTGCTTCCTCTGAGAACTCAGGAGCAGTCGGGGTTTGAGAGGAAGCAAGAAGCAGATGAGCTTTACAGAGAGGAATGTCCTCCACCTGTGCCTTGGTGTAGCCAAGCCTGCTTTGCTTGACGTTTGTGGGATTGGGCAAGAATGCAAGTCTTCATCTCTTTGATACTTAGACATTTTGATTAAAAATAATTTGAAAGATTAAAAAAACCCAGGTATTTGCAGCTGTACTGTCTCCACCCAGCTGCCAGTGCAAGGGCCAGCACCTCTGCTTTGGGCATGCTGCCCCTGTGCTTTCGTAGAACACGAGGGTGACAGGTCTCTGTGGCATTGCTCCTCTCCCAACTTGCAGTGGTCAGATACTTGGCGAGCATCTCTGACGCCACAATGAGTAGTGAAGTGGCAGTGTTCGATTCAGATCCCGTCAACAACAAAACACTTTGTTCTTAAGCACCCCCCTTCCCTCTGGACATACAGAAATCTGTGGCTTGGGATGCTGAGCTGGCAGCTCCCCCCTCTTTTCTGCTGCTCTGGGCATTTTTGCTCCTGATCAATTCTACTGTAACAAATATCACTTGCTTATTTGTGAATGTGTTTGCCCCAAATTGCATACACTCTTGTATCTGCGTGCTTGCAGGGAGTCTTCGAGAGGGGAGTCATTCTGGGGATGCTGCCCTTCCTGCCTCAGGATGTAGAGATGTGGGCTGAGGTGTCTTCAGACTCGCAGTTCCACCTGCAGCTGTTGCTGCAGCTTGAGGTAGGGGTACAGGAAGGTGCAAAGCATCCCTCTGGGTGTCTTTAGAATGGCTCTGGGAGGGTGGTCCAGCAGAGTCCCAATGATGCCACTGACCAAGCAGATGAAGAAAGTGACTAACGGTTGGGCTCTTAAACATTCCATAAAGGCCCATGTGCTGAAGGCTTTGTCACCAGCCATGGTACTGTTGGGAGAAACACTGATGTAGGGGCCCCAGTGGGAGGAAGTTGGGTCTTTGTGGTGTGCCCTTGAACCAAGTCCTGGCAACTGAACGGCTCCTCTGATTTCTGGCTCTGTGAGGTGAGGAGCTTGCTCCACCAGGCTCTTCTGCCATGAAGTCCTACATTACCCTGAGTCCAAAAGCAATGGAGTCGAGCAGCTGTGGACTGAAACAGGCACAATAAGCCTTTGTTCCTCACAAGTTGACTATATGAGGTATTTAATAACAGTAATGGAAGTCTCACTAGCACAGCTACCAACTCCAGAATTTGTAATGAACTAAAAATCAACCTTCAACGCTCCATTTTTTTTTTTTTTTTTTTCTCCCTCCCCACCTTCTGGAATTTTTATCTGCATCTTCATGATAGTTTACTAGTTTCCTGTATAGAGAAAGCTTAAATGGAACTTTCCACAGAAAAGGCCCTCAGTTAACATTAAAGGGGAAAGAATGAACAGGACACAGTAAAGAGAAGAAAACCAGATAACAATATTATGGGGACATTATTCCAGACAGACTGTTGTCTTTCGTTTTATGAAAATGCTTTATTTAACTTGGCATAACACTCTGGGTAACTAGCTGACCAACTGGGTCCGTCGCATTTCGCCTTCATTCTTTATAGCTCTACTATAAAGATCACTTATAAGATGAATTTGTTAGGACAAGAGTCTGAGTACCTGCTGCCCTGAAGATAGGTGGGACGAGTCTGTATTCACATGACATCTTCCTATTGCCACACATATCCTGTGAGTGTCTCATTTTTAAGTATGATTATCTGGTAATAGTAATGCTGAATTATTTTATTTGCATCTCTTTGGTTACTGGCCACAGTGAGCAGCTTTTCATGTCATTTATTTTGTGATTTTGTTTTCTATGCCCAACTTCAGTTAGTGCACTTGCTTTTTAAAAAACTGGGTAATAGTATGAATTCTGCTTTGTTCATTCCCTTCTCCAGTTGGACTTTGCAGATGGTGTTTTATGATAAATTTTAAAGTCCTATGTTGTAGTTGAATTTATGAATATTTTCCTACATGTTTCTGGCTTTTGCATCATCCTTCAAAAGTCCTTCTTGCCAAAACCTAAATATTTGCTTACTTTTCTCGTTAGGCTTTAATTTGTTCCATTTTTATTTTGGTCTGAGCCAGAGTAGAACTTTTCTCTTAAATAAAGGGCTAGATAGTTTACCCCAGCACATTCACTCCTTTTACTCATTGATTTGCAATCTCAACATGTTCAAATTTTCCATAAATAGCTTGCAGTTACTTCTAGATTGGTCATTTCATTCATCTACTTATTTAGCACCTATCACCATAGGACTGTAATTGGTGACTTCATAATGTACCTTGAGTTGGTAGTATGAGGGCCTCTAAAAGTAGGCCATAAGGAGTGCTGATATTTATGTTCTCTTAAAATTGGCTATTATCCTAGCAAATTAAGTCTGTTCATAGAATTTATCTAAAACATTTATATAGAGTAGTGATTCTTAACAATAGTATCCACAGGCTATCTATATCAAAAGTACTGGGGATGTTAAATTTTAGATCTCTGGGCCCTACTCGAGCATTCACAAAATGTTAAGATGGGCTCAGGAAATTGTTTTCACGAGCTCCCCAGATGATTCTCAAGAACACCAAGAGACATCTAACACGTAAAATGTGAGCAGCATCTAGGTCTTGATGTTTAAATGTTTAAAAATGGGACTACTATCTTTTAAAAATTACATCTATATATATAAATACAGAATTATAATTTTTTTTCTCAAACATTGAGCATGTATGTAGTTCCAATACTGCACCAAACAAGAATACAAGGCTAACTTGTTACACTTCAGATTTGACTTAAAATACATAATCCTGCTCCCTAGTTGCACACATATATCCCAAGTTGTTACTGTATTTCAGGTCAGAGCAAAATGGTTGGCCTAGAGGTGCCCCTAGTTAGATTGTGGAGCAACCTATGTGCACATGGTGCAACTTGAGGCCCTTGACAGAGCTGTAAGATAATCCAAATACAAAGAGTGTGGGTTGAGAGACAGTTAAGGGATGTCACAATAAATGTGACCAATCAAGGAAGGTCTTCTAGGTGGGGGAATGAGTACCCTGTGACAACTAGAATTAAAGACACTGGGAGTATTTGATTCTTTAAGATGCAATAGTATGCTCTTACATCTGGTTAAACTCCCTAAATTTCTTATGCCTAGTCTTCTGTGCTATAAATACAAGCTAAATGCTTCAAAATTCAAGGTATCCTGAGAGTAAATAATCAACAAATTTTCTACCAGTGCTGGTCGCTCATGGAATTACAGGTATTTTGTTCAGTTTGTGTTCTTTTATTTATTTTTTGTTATATTGATAATTGAAACCAGTGGTTAATGCATGCTAGGTCAGCACTGTACCACTGAGCCTTTTAAAAATATTTGAAATGGGGTCTCACTAAGTTGCCCAAGCTGGCCTCAAACTTGAGATCGCCTCAAACTTGAGATCCCCCCATCTCGGCCTCCTGAGTAGCTGGGATTATAGGCACAGAACAAGCTTACCTTTAAAATATTTATTACCTATGCTCCCCTGAAGAACAGTGATCCAAGTCAAGACAGGACTTGGAATACAGCTAAAGGCTTTATAACTGCCTTTCTGTGCCTACTGCTTGTGTTTCTTTAGATTCTGGAATATCCAGTTGACGCCCAGAACAACCAGCTACCCTTCTTACGGAATCCGGATATCTTGGTGGGAGAAAACGACCTCACTGCCCTTAGCTATCTCCATGAGCCTGCAGTTTTGCATAATCTGAAGGTCCGCTTCCTGGAGTCCAACCACATTTACACTTACTGCGGTAAGTGGGGCATCTGTTGGCTGTGCATATTTGGGAGTGCCTACAATCATTAGATTTAACTGTGCTCAAGTGGTTCAGAACCCTGATTTTTTTTTTTACATGCACCTTTCACCTTGGCCTTTGGAAAGGTTTGTAATCAGTGCATGTGGCTAAATTTGGCTGCCCTAGCCTCTGTGGGATGACTGATGCCAGTCACAGCTCAACTAAAGAAACGACCCATAGCCTGCAGGATGGGTGGTTTGTTTTTTGGTCTCAGGGACTGAATCCAGGGGCTGTAAACCCCTGAGCCACATCCCCATCCTTTTTATGTTTTATTTAGAGACAGGGTCTTGCTGAATTGCTTAGGGCCTTGCTAAGTTGATGAGGCTGGCTTTGAACTCATGATCCTCCTGCATGAATCTCCTGAGTTCCTAGGATTACAGGCTTGGGCCACAGCATCCAGTGGGGTGGCCAGTTTAGAGGACATAAGTCTGCTCTGGTGTGCTGGCTCATGCACATTCCCTTGCCACCCAGCACACAGCTAGAGGTGTGTGCCTGTCTTGTACTTTCCAGTCAAAAGTTCTGCCTTTCTGACTTTGTCACTTGCCTGCGTATCAATGCGATGCTTGATGAATATAGAGCAAGCAAAATCCACAACAGATGCATAAAACAGAGTCCTGAAATTGTCAAGTTTTTCTTGAAATTGCTCCTTTTTTCTGTATTTCAAATGTTTTTCCCCCTTCTCCTTTGAATATTGGTAGATAATATGGCAAAAATAAGACCCTGTTAATTGAGAAGCAGATAACTTGAGGGTCAGGCTGGGGAGTGAGCCAGGATGCCACTGCGGGAGTTGTCCTGCTTGTGCAGGAAAGCCCTGGTCACGTTTGGGATCACAGTGATACGTCAGCTGTCAGGTTTTTGTTTTTTAATAATTTTGTTTAGTTGTAGATAGACACAATATCTTACATCTTTTTTTTTAATGTGGTACTGAGGATTGAACCCAATGCCTCACTCGTGCTAGGTGAGTGCTCTACCACTGAGCCATAACCCCAGCCCAGGGTCTTTTTACTTTCCTGTTCTACTTGGGTTTGGAAGTGGTGGGTCAGTGAGGAGGTCAGGGGAGCTGTTCTGCTAGGTTGTAGTGCTGGGGGCGGCGGGGGTGGTTTCCCAAAAGCTCCTTCCTCCCGCCTGTTGGTGGGAGTTTGAAAGATGTGACCAATCATCAGAACTTTCAGTAAGCCCTCCCATAAGATGAATTTAGGAAGCTCTTTTAGGAAACACGGCTCAGTGGCCATCTGCTTCCAATTTAAGGACTCCATCTGAGTCTCCCGAGTGTCCACATTTATCCAAACATGCTTCGGCTCCTCCGGGTTCTGCTGTGTTAGGGAACTGATCTGAGTGTTCCCTCTCTGTTAATCATGTTAACCTTTAGCACATCCCGGGTAAGTGCAGTCAGCATTCCCAATTCATAGTTGAAGCAACCCAGGCATTGAAAGGCTGAACAACTGCTCAAATCACACCGTAATTGATCCAGTAGTAGACCTGAAGATATGTAAAACACACTTCCTATCCATAAGTTGTTTGTATTTTAGTTAAGATAACCCATACACAAATGAGAAATCCATTCCTTGTCAGCTTTTAATTCTTGCACGGGGTTTTAAATTTCTCTAATACCTATTGGCAGATATAAACATCTTCTTCCCTCTAATCCTACAACACTGCACGTGTCTATTTTATGAACTTAGTTTGTGGAGCATTTGTTATCATGTGGGTATTGCCATACCCTAAGGCTGCAGGATAGCTGGACCCTCAGCTTATCTGCGTTGTTTTTACCAGGGCCTGGAACAAAAGCACACAACTGTCTTAAGTGGAGTTGTTGTGACTGATGCTGTTACGCCCTCATGCTTCAGGTTCCGTGTCTGAACAGGTGCTTTAGTCTGATGCCCCGAGACAGCTGAGCTGCCAGACTCTGACCTCCTGTCTCTTTGCAGGCATTGTGCTTGTTGCCATCAACCCTTACGAACAGTTGCCAATCTACGGACAAGATGTCATCTATGCCTACAGTGGTCAGAACATGGGTGACATGGATCCCCACATCTTTGCAGTGGCAGAAGAAGCCTACAAGCAAATGGCCAGGTGAGGATAACTCGGCACAGACATTCTCCTTGGGAACGGGACAGGAAGGGGAGTTGCTGTTTCTTTACTGCTGAGGCTCACAGTGGAGTAGTGAGACTGGGATTGAAGAAACACCTTGGGAAAAGTCTACATTCTGTTTCCTACTTCATTCTCTCACTTCATTATCTTACTCTTACAAACTGAGAGCAGAGGCTCCTTAGCTTACTTGATTCTTTTGAAAAAGAAAATACAGTCCTTAACATTTCATCTTGATTTTCTGGTGCTCTTTCCTCCCCTGCTGTAGTGGAATCATTCTAGAGCACCTCTGTGAGCTCTACGTCCAGCCTGCTCTACACCTTCTTACTGCAGGATCCTTTGTGAGGGAGGAGGACTCCTTGACAACTTGAGGGTGGAGGTAAAAACCTTTAGTCAGCAGCCTGGAAGCAGAATTCTGATTGAAGCCCTTGAGTAATTTTCAGTGTTTCTCTAGCCATGAAAGATGGGTGCAGGTCTGTTTCATTAGAAAATGGGCTTGGTGATGGTCTCAAGTTGTTGTTGCATCATATCAGGAAAGATCTATTTTTGGGAGGAAATTCATATCCCAGTTAATACTAAAATGTTGGATTCTTTCAGATAGTTCTTGCCACCTCTAGAGAGTGTTTTAATGGACCTTGCAACATTCATACCAAAGTCCTTTGGCAGTTGGACCATTTATACTAACAAGGAGAATGAGTGATCCCTTTGTAGGGGAGATTCTGTTTAAGGTGGTGTGGTTTCATTACAATTTTTAGGCCAATAAAACTATGAAGGAAGACTTCTATAGACTACTGACCTACGATGTTTCATTCCAAATATTCAGATGAGCATATGAAAGGTCTCTTTCATTAAAGACACAGGAACTATATTCAAAATAAGCAATGGCTTGAAGGAATGGAAAGTAGAATGACTTACAACTTACCTTCAAAATGTGCCACTAAGCTGATTGCAACCTTTGACCTTTCTAATGCCACATGCTGTATTAATCTGATATCAGGGCTTGACTAGGAATCTTAGTGGGGCCAGCCTGTTGACTTACACCTCCTGACAGTGTAGCCCCAGATCAGATCTTGTGGTGAGATCACTTAGTGTGTTATACAGCAGACGGCCCTGCTTGGGTGTCACTCTTTTGAAGATCATGTGCATGGCAAGTGGGGGATAGGGCTGGGGACTGGGCAGGCTTCTGTGTTGTGGGAGAATTACTTAAGCCAAGTCTCCATTTGCTTCACATGGAGATAATGCTTCATCTACTCTCAAGGGATTTTTATTTTTTTTTATGGTTCTAAATCAAGGTGGCTATGGCTTGGTTCTTAAGACTTCATGCTGTGCTTTAAGTTTGGATAGCTCTCTCAACCTTGTTCATTCATGGATGCCATTGACACTTGGGGGGGGGTGTTCAGCTCATTCTCTTAGCCCATTATACTTACATATGGCAGAAGTTGCTGCCCTTCATACAAGGGCTGCTGTAGCTTGCAAGTCTTCTAGCCTCCAGCCTACCCATGTGCTGGGGTCCACTTGGCTCTGCCTGTGTTCCTCCCTCCCATGCATGAAGCTGGGCCTGTGGTTCTTGTAAACTGGGATTATTTCACTTGTTGGAGGCCTTGTTCACACCCACTGAAGAGAAGGGGACATGGGGGAGTCAAGGGTGGTGGTGGTGATACTGTCTTGCCTCGGGTAATGAACTTGGTAAGTAAGGGGTTTGGATGGTAAAGCTGGACCAGGACTCCTTTAAGGTTTTAAGGCTTATACTCATTTTATTCTTGGGGGTCTCAGTTTGTATTGAATAATCTTGAAGTTTTGGTGCAATATTTTCTTATGAAATGTGTTAGAAATATAAGGTCCAGTGCTCGTGGCCACAGGATGAGAGCTGGTTTTGAGTTTTGTTACCAGCAGCTTGTGGTTTGTCATTATTGACCTAACAGATGGATTAGAAATCCCCCAAATATCATGTGAGCAGATGAGGGAGACCTAATGGTCAGCTACAGGCAAGGTTTTCACTGTGTTCCCGTCATGGTCCTTCTCTCTGGAACACTAGAACGCATCCTTTCAACAGTGCTGGCCGACTGCACTGTGCTCTTCCTGACTTGTCAGAACTGTCAGAGTAACTGTAACGGTTCAGGTAGCCAAAGCCTAGCACAGTGCTTTGGAGGAGCCTCCCTAAAATCTGGGTAAAGTAGAAGGTCTGGGAGGCTAAAGTTCTGAATGACAGTCTTGGGGGACTTGCACTCCGTGATTCTTTCTTTCTCTTGATTAGAGACTGGATTTTTCATGATGGCTCACACATGAATCCTTCAACTCCAGATACCTAGACACTGTCAGAGTATGAGGGGTTTAATACAGACTTTTAACTCCTCCTCGGAGTTCTAGAAAAAATGTAGCTAGTGCTGTAAGAAAGGAAGAGCAGAGACCAGCAAGAGAAGAGGATTGGTTCCCTGTCCCCATCATGCTCACCAAGTCTAGACTTGAGTAAATGCAGATTCACAGTAAAGAAAAAACTTACAATAGTATGAAACAACATATTTATGAATTTTATCCCTTGCACAGAACCTACAGCTCCCTAGGGGAGGGGAATTGACCTCCACAGCTTAGCTTTGGACCTTGTATTCTTTCCTGGCCCAAGACCCTAAATATCCTATACTTCGTTTTTACCTGCCTCAACTCCAGCCTCGCCCTCTATTAGTGACTTAGCAATAATTTATGAAGTATCATTACTTGGTAGACTCCATACTGGCCAGTAAGAAAGTAAGATCACCCTACTTCAAGCAGGAGCTCAATGGTTAGAGAAGATAGAGATAGGCCCAAAAGGCCTTACCTGTAGTAGGTATAAATAGAAATGGGTGCCATAGGATCATGTGAAATGATTTTGGAGATGGTGTTACAGATGGTCCAAGGAAACTATAGGAGTTTAGGTCCTAATGAATGGTAGGATGCTTAGAGTGAGAAGAAGGCATCTAGGTAGTAGAATAGTGAGGCCATAACTGAGAAGGGGGTCATTAAAAGGCTTGGTCAGAAAATTACAGTGAGATGCTGCTCCCCATCTTCTATACTCAAAAAGTCAAAAGAGTTGGTGAGAATGTGGAGAAATTGAGTCTTCATGTACTGCTAGTAGAAATGTGAATTGATTCCAGCCACCTTGGAAGAGTCTGGGAGTATTTCTAAAGGATTTCAATAGTTCCCAGTGATTCTACCCAAAGAAATGGGAACATACATTCTTGTCAAATTATAGATGTTCACATTACAACCTAAATGTCTATCTCTGGATGAATGGATCAACAAAATGGGGATTATTCACACAATGGTATGCTACCATATTGTTGAAAACATGGCAAGTGAGATAAGCCAGATACAGAAGACCACATATTGTATGACTTGGTTGATAGGAAATGTCAAGAATAGGCAAATCTTGGGGAGACAGTTACTAGTGTTCTCCTAGGACTCTAGGTTTTAGGGGAAATGGGTTGAGGGATGAGATGAAAATGGTTGTGGTAATGCACAACTCTGCAAATGTACTAAAAATCTGAATTGCTCACTTTGAACAAATGTTGAATAACATCAATAAAGCTATCATAAACAGGTATGGTTGGGATGATCCCCAGGCAGGTTTAACCTATACAGTGGGTACATCTGTAGGGAGTTGTGGGCAAGGTTGAAGACAAGGTAAGGCCAGATTGTGGAGACTTCTGGTGGCTTGGGTGAACTTGAGGAATGAAATGTATTTTATTTACAGCTACAAAGGTGGCCAGATGACTTTTGAAAACACTGGATTAATTAAGTGGCCCAGCTTTCTTTTAACAGAGCTTTACAGAGTTAGGTTTGACATGCATTCTGAGTCTAAGATGGTACACATTACTCTGGGTTTGCAAATCGGGTATAAAACTGTTTGCAAAGATTACCTCAAGGGGCTAATGTTCTGTGTAATACTGTTTGGGAAATACTAGCTTAGAGCAATGGAGAAATCATAGAGCTGCTTGGATAAGGACATAATGATACGAGGGATGTTCCAAGAATTTTTCTGATGGGTCCTATTTCATAATGCTTTCCTTCATTTCCAAGGATAAGAGTTCTGTCTTATGAGAAGCTTAGTTTGTTGTGGAACATAACTTGTCAAAGAACAACTTGTATGGAATGAGAAACAAAAAATTGAAAAACAGACTATGTGGCACTACATTTGTTATGTACACTTCACTCTAAGGTATGACTGGTGCCTAAGGAAGACAAAAGTAGCAACTGGAACATTAATGTATCTAATTCTCACATTTGCCACATGAAATTGGTCACCTCATGATATTGATACATAACTTGGACATTGAACAACTCTTGAAGATTATGAAGTTAGTGAATGTGTAGGGATAGAATCCAGACCCAATCTCTTTGCCCAAAGCCCTCTGAATTAGCCAGAAAGCCATGCTACTCTTCAGCTACTCTTCAATTGTCTGTTCATTGGCCTGGACAGTTTTGTCAGATCAGTGATTCTTGTCCCCAGGACACCATTGAGGGCCATCGGTGGAACTTTTCCCTTCTAGTTCACCCACCTGATTCTGCATGGGGGTAGTTCTGCTGTATTAAACAGCCTCATTGGTGGGAGTGGACCATCTTATTGGCTTGACTGGTTCTGGTCTCCTTTTTTGAGCTGTTTGTGTGTTATGTTGCTCTTCTGAACAAGAATGGGATGGGAACACTGCAAAGCAAATCTTTCTGCTCAGGTGGCCAAGGTAATTGAGCACCCACATTCCCCATCTGTGTCGGCTATGTTGCCAAGGTGTGACTAATAATGAATGATGGGATTGCTGTTGCCCGGAATCTTGGGAGGGGGTTGGGAGACTGAAGCTAGATATACCTGTGTCATGAGGCTGGAATGCTGACAGAAACGGAGGCTTGCCTGAGTGGGAGCCATTATACATGTGGGGTTTTGAAACCCATGAGAGTGAAAGCCTGTGTCCAGTGGGAATAGCGGTTCCAGTTAGAAACCCTGGTTGGGCTGTTGA